GTCCTCTCTCTCTCTCTCTCTCTCTCTCTCTCTCTCTCTCTCTCTCTCGCTTCGATTGGGTTTTTGCACTCTCTCGTTTCGTCCTTTTCTCTTAATTGGTTTTTTGGTTTCAGGTCTTCTTCTGGACTGTGGGGCTCCTCGACCAACCTCAGAAGCCGGCCTTCAATGGCTCCCCGACTCCGATTTCATCAACACAGGAAACACAACTTCTCTCTCTACACCCCACATCCGAACCACTCTATCCTCTCTCCGATATTTTCCGGACACCAAAGCTCGCAAATTTTGCTATGTTCTCCCTGTAATCAAAGGCGCTCGATACCTGGTTAGAACTACATTTTTCTATGGTTCTTTTGATGGGGGCGAAACGCCACCAATTTTCGATCAATTGGTTGAAGGAACACTATGGAGCACCGTAAATACTTCTTCTGATTATGCTTTGAATCTCTCTTCTTACTATGAAATTATGGTTCAAGCCACTGGTAAAAGCTTGAGCGTGTGTCTCGCTAGGAATTCTCTCACTAGATCTCACCCCTTTATATCTTCTCTTGAATTGACACAAATTGGGAACTCTGTGTATAATTCGACCGACTTCTCTCAACATGCTCTTGCAACGGTTGCTCGAGATAGCTTTGGATATGGAGGCCCCATCATCAGGTAGTTACTGAACTTTTTTTGTGTTTTGGTGCTTGAATTTTCAAGTATTTTCCAAATTTTTTCATGTTGGTGTGCTTAAATTTCTATTGTTTTTCTTCTGATTTGATCAATAAGCTCTTATTATCAATGTGTCGATGAATTTCCTTGGATGATTCTTGCCTTTGAATTCTCTATTTTTGAGTTTTTCTTTAATTGTAATTTGTTCCCTGTTAGCTCCAATTCGTATGGTTCCTTCGCTCTTCGAACTCAAGTTCTTTCTTTGTAATTCTTTTGATTGTTTATGACACCAGACAACTAGCACAAAGTTTCAGGTCATGATGTTGATTCGTAGCAATATGATCATTATGTGCCTGATAATCGTAGAGGTGGGTGTGAGAAACAGTGTGTGTTTGTGTGTTATATATTTACTGTTTGATGCTTTGATTAGTTACTAGCACTCCAATACTTGCATGCTGCCATCTTGGTATTATTTGTTAAAGAATCATGGGAATAAATTTATCTGTTTTTTAAATATGTGTGAGGGAGTAAGAGAGAGTTGATGATACTTGTTTATTAATTAATTATTTTTGTGCAATAAGTTTCGACAATTCGGCGTCTAGACGCATCAGTCTCAGTGTTGTCGGATGAATTCAGCTGTCTTTCAATTGTATTTTGTTTTATGTAATTTCGTAATGTGTGTGGGAGAGAAACATAACTCTTCTCTCTAATTTGCAAAAATAGGTACCCTGACGACCATTTTGATCGTTTCTGGGGTCCCTTCACAGACTCTAGCCCAACAGTGAACAAAACCGGGAACGTCTCATCAACTGGGTTTTGGAACATGCCCCCCGCTAGAATCTTTAAAACCTCTTTGACTTCAAATCTACCCAACCCTCTTGAATTGCAATGGCCTCTTTTCCCTCTTCCCAATTCAAGCTACTACGTTGCTCTCTACTTTGAAGATAACCGTGAGATTGGATCATCGAGGGTCTTCAACGTCTCAGTGAATGGAGTGACTTTCTTTCGCAATTTGAATGTCACAACATCCGGTGTTGTTGTTTTTGCAACAATGTGGCCTCTCTCTGGACACATCCAGATTGTCATGACCCCAGCTGAGGGCTCTACAGTTGGGCCTCTGATTAATGGAGGAGAGATTCTTCAGGTCTTAATGCTCGGTGGAAGAACTGTAACTAGAGATGGTAAGGATCTTCGAAAGCTTTAACTTCCAATTAATTCTTTGGTTTTATCAGAGATCTAGTTCTTGAAAAAGATGGGGTTCTTCACTTTCTAATAAAAGGAGTGGGGTTTATGAGGAAGCACGTTGTTAGAAAGGTTCTCTACTTTCAAATAAAAGGAGTGGTGTTTATGAGGAAGCAAGTTGTTAGAAAGGAATGTTTGTTTTTATCAAAAACTATGTCTTCCCTGTTGATTTTCTATATTTTTTTTTATGGCAGAAAAATTGTTCTTCAATAAGTTCTACAGTTCCATCAGAAAAACTCGCTAAATAAATTTTATGGTTCCTCGGGAGTTAGTGTGTCCTCATTGTATCATTTGCTATCTTTGATTTGTAGTGATTGCTTTGGAGGTCATGAAAAGAAGCTTGGCAAAGGTGCCTCTTGATTGGCAAGGTGACCCTTGTTTGCCTCGCCAATACTCATGGACTGGAGTAACATGCTCTGAAGGCTCAAGGATACGTGTTATTGCCCTGTAAGTTGAAATTTTGATCTGAAGTGAGGATTTTGATTGATTCAACCATTTTTTTAATTAAGGAAATTATTGGATTTCTTTTTCTTTTTCTTCCTTTGTTATCAGCATTTATGTTTGTTATTTCAGGAATTTGACGGGACTGGGTCTTTCTGGATCGCTATCGCCTAGAATTGCCAATTTAACTGCATTATCTGACATGTAAGCCATCTGAATTTTCCCCTTCTCTTGGATACTTAACCCCTTACTGTTGGAAAATTAACTTGCACGTAATGAGGGAGGGAGATCTGCCCAAAAGAATCATGTAACTTGAAATTTATTTTCCCTTTGTGGAGGGACGGAGGGAGGGAGATCTGCCCAAAAGAATCATGTAACTTGAAATCTATTTTTCTCTTTGTGGAGGGAGGGAGGGAGATCTGCCCAAAAGAATCATGTAACTTGAAATTTATTTTTCTCTTTGTGGAGGGAGGGAGGGAGGGAGATTTGCCCAAAAGAATCATGTAACTTGAAATGCTCTTTTTGGTTTCCTGACTTCGCTGTTGCGTGTGATTTATTTTCAGTTGGCTCGGGAATAACAACCTCTCAGGGTCTATACCAGACTTCAGCCCTTTAAGAAGACTTGTTTCCCTGTAAAAATTCACATTCCCTTTTATCTTCATCTTCATCTCTCTCTTTCTCTCTTTGTGCTTTCTGATTACCATTTCCTTATGTTTTGTTTTGGAATCATGTCATGAAGGCATTTGGAGAACAACCAATTCAGCGGAGAGATTCCTCCTACTCTTGGAAATATCAGCGGTCTCAGGGAACTGTGAGTTCAGAATTCTCTATTTTGATAACGATTTCTTCTAATTTTATGCTATTTTCATCATTTTTAGGTCAGCGTTGGTTAAATAAGCCATGAAATTACATGAATATGAGCGTAGGATAAGGGAAAAAAAATTGTCTTAATTGAAGAATGGATAACTAACCACCCTCCTCGCCCGATAAAAAGATAGACTACTTTCTGCATTTCTTCTACTAAGCATCTGTTTACGTTCTTTTCCACCTTCTCAGGCTCAGATTTTAATTTTTCTTATGCTTTTGTATTACAGTTGGTTACAGAACAACAACCTCACTGGTGTAGTACCTAATAGTCTGCAGACTAAACCTGGACTGGACCTCAGGTAGATGTTCCTCTCTCTCTCTCTCTCTCTCTCTGCGCCATAGGAAGAAGAAGTTAATACCATAACAGAGTTAATATTCATGAGGTCTTCTTGAATATTATGATCAAGCATTGATCTTGTTTGTAGGGTATCTCCTGGCAACCGTCTTGTTAACTCAATGCCTGGGGCAGCAACATAGTAAAAATGGTGAGCTGCCTTTGAGTATCTAAATTTTCTTAGTGTTGTATTATTTTATTGATATTATATTTTAACATTGTTAATGATTATATAGTGTCCTTTGTAAGTATGGTTGTATACAGAGTTGATGATTTTTCCAACTTTTCCAGGTCTGTTATGGCTTATGGCTTCTTCCTCTCAAGAGTTATTTTGGTTTTTTGATTTTTCCCTTGGCTGAGCTAGGTCAATGTTCTTGAGGAGCTTAATGGCTGATTCTAATGTGTGGGCAATGTGTAGATTTTAAGGAGCTTAATGGCTGATTCTAATGTGTGGGCAATGTGTGGATTTTAAGATATGGAATTGTACAGACCTTCCTTGTGAGACATGTGGATATTTTGTTCAGTTATTGATTTCATCGTCTGTTTGTTTGGCCTCTCTCTCTCTCATATTGTGAGTTGGTGAGGCTGGAATGTTGACAATTGATGAAGACCCATTCTATAATATTTCTTTATCAAATTGTTTATGAATATTTTATGAATTGATCAGTGATTGTATTGGTTGTGATCTTGTTGGATGCCCAATGTCATCTCCCTATTTGTATTTAATGAGCAAATGGTGCCATCTGGCTGACTGAGAGAGAGAGAGAGAGAGAGAGATATTGCCAAATACTGCATATTAAGCTAGTGTTTTACTAACCGCTCTGTTACTTGAATCTTGTCCGTAACATGGCTTCTACAAATTCAATGAATCAGACCCAATTGAATATTATTTTCTCCATAAATTGAATATTATTTTCTCCATATGTTTCCTCTTATTAATGTCATTTTCTCCTTTAATGTCAATGAACTGCTAGAGTTTTTTGACAGAAAACCATGTCTATATTATACAAAAGTTTAACCTCTCTCTCTCTCCACAAACCCAACCCAAAAAATAATGATGAGTCCATTGAAGGGCTTCCATTGAAAAGAAAGCATTCAAGAGCATATTCTAAATATTCAATGGACACAAACAACTCGAATCAAACAGGGCGATTCATCTTGTTAATTGAAAAGGATAGTTAGAGAAGAAAACACAGAGAGGTTGTATATACAATGTCAAACAACAGCGGATTCTCCATCGATGCTAGAATCCACCGGACCCTCCTACCACAAAGTTTCTGATATTTCGAACTGGCCTCCTCTGTGGGGCTGGAAGAAGACGAGGAATTCCATGATTCTTCACACTCGAGCACACCGGAACGTTCAACACGGGACGGACACGCACACTTGTGCATATCCTCACACTCTCTCTCTTCCTTGCCGCAGCCTCCTTATCAAACCTCACCTTCACCTTCCTCACTCCACATTCTCTCACCTCCGCTACCTTCCTGAATCCAATTTCTCTTTCCTCCTCCACCTTCCTCAATTCACATTCTCTATCCTCCTCCAATAGAATTTCTCTCTCCTCCCCCACCTTCCTCAATCCACTTTCTCTCTCCTCCCCAGCCTTCACTGCACTTTCTTTCTCTTCCTCCACCCTTGTCACTCCATCTACTCTCTCGTTGGATACTTTGCGCTCGCTCTTGGAGGATGGAGCCTGTGCTCTCCACAACCTCAGCTTTAACAATTCTTTCCACCTGCCAGAGCAAGTGGGGGGCCTCGGAGAGGGGTCCTCTTCGCCACAGATAACCACCGTAGCCTTCTTCTCTATCTCTTCTTCGACCCCACATGGTCCACCAGCCTTAGTCTCTCTCTCCTCACAGTTGAAGCTTACTCTGTGCATCAAAGCTTGGGATGAACATGAGGGCTGGCGAAGGGGGAGCAATTTACCTTGGAAGAAAAGCTCGTCTGCTGTGACCAAAGTGTCGGAGTTGAACACTATGAATTCGAAGTCAGGGTCGCCTTTCACAGGGCCAGCTTCCCGGTTTCTGCAAACGTCGTCACTAGAGAATGAAATACGAGGCATCTCAGAGCGATCGGTGTAAGGCATATGAGAGAGTGAGAGAAACAGGGGTTGTTACATAGGGGAACAACACACAGGGGCTTTTAAATGGAGGAACGACACGGGGAGAGAGGGATGGGTGTAGTGTTAGATGGAGAGGGGAGAGGTGTTATAGGCGTGAAGATGAGGAGAGAGGTGTTAACAGGCGTGAAGATGAGGCATTTGGTCGAATGGGGACAAAACAGTGAAGGTCATCGTCGTCCTGGCTTTAGGGTGGTCAGATCCCCATACCATTCGCTGTCCAAACGAAACCCAATAGAAAAAAAAGGTTGGATTAATACACAGAAATATGAGAGCACATGGATTGTAGCATTATTTTAACAACCAACTCACATTTCTGCCCGAACAACTCTCTCTCTCTCTCTCTCTCTGTTCAGTTTTTTTTGGGTGCGAGACCCTGCACCTTTCTTTGTCCAAGTTCAAATGAGGCAGATAATAGGGAAACAAAAGCACATGGACCGTAATACTACTTTAATTTGAGCCACCATCTGCCATGCATGCATTACTCGTCTCTCTCTCTCTCTAGACTCTGATGTTACTTTATATGGAGGCACATAGTAGGCCAAATAACCAGCAAGACTCCTCTCTCTCCAACATTTCAGGCCTAGGCAACAGGTGAAAGAATGAAAAATCAGAAAACCAAGTGGTCAAGAGGACAAGGGAGTTCAAAATTCCTTTGTTTTATGGACCTCATTATCAGCTTCATAAAACAAATGCAAGCATAGCTGTCACATTTACCATTTAAAATGGAAAATTTGTTTTTGAACCATTTATTTTAATTTTGGGTGCAGTTTCTATAAAGCCTAGGTTTTATGAAAAAGTAAGGTGTCACTTCGAATCTTTGTCCGAAAAGCACTTTTGGGCATCGGAAATCTCCATGATCGCCGTAAATTTAATTTCCAATACGGAATACAAAATTTGAAGAAAAAAAATAGTACAGATCTTGTGGATTTGTGAACACTTATTTTTAAGGTGAAATGGACGATATAGATAATGTATTACAATATACACTTCTTTTAGGGCGCTTGAAATATTAACTTTTTTTTACAACCATAGTGGTCAATGCCAATATGATCGATTTGAAAGTTTTTTTGAGGTGAGCTTTTACTTATGGACATGGTTTCTATGCGGCCAGCCCGCATATTGTAGAAATGCGGGCTTGGCAAATAATATATTTTTTAAATATAATTTGCCTAATTTTTAGAATAATCCTTAACATGGAGAATATGAATATGAAAAAATAAATAAATTGAAAACTAAGAATAATAATTATATTAATAAAACATTTGGACCGTTAATTACACTTGTTTTTAGATGGACCAACTATTTACATCTAATTTTAAGATGGATGCTTTATACCTTTGGACCGCATATTGTAGCCCGCATGAACCAATTTTCCTTTACTTATTTTGATGTAAAAAAAACAACGTTGGAACCTTGTACTATAGAAATGAGGTGCACCTCAAAAATTAAGTAAAAAAGTGTGTTATGGAAGTTAGACAACCTTCTAAATGATCATCTCAATCCTCAGATGTATACATATAAAGAAAAAGAATTCCTAGTATTAAACGTAGTGCATGCTAACAAGTTATCTGGACCGTCTATTTCAAAAATTTGAAGTGTTTATATATTTGCTTGATCCATACTATTTATGAAATTTAAAATTTCATAAATAGAGTTTAACATGCATTTTTAAGTCGTCACAAGGTTTCTGACATGGGAACTGTATCGTCACGCAAATTTTAAAAGTGTGCCTTACTTGTATAGTATAAGATTCCTTTTGAACATTTAGATTCCTATTTTTGGACTGGTGGTTAAAATCAGTGTCCCATGAAATTTTAGATCCAAAATTCATTTCTAATGGTTAAGATCATTGCACCATATTGAAATTTTAGATCCAAAATTCCTTTCTAATGGTTAAGATCATTGCACCATATTTCGACAGGGAAGGCACATGAACATGGGCTCACCAATTTTTTCCTTTTGATGAAAGAAAGGAAATGATGGTCAGGGACTGAAATATGGGGAAAAAATGCTAGTCATTTAGAAAAAAGTATTTGACATTGTAAATACGGACTAAATTGTAACCTTTAGAGTTTAGAGATCCTACCTTCAAATACTGTTGATACCTTCAAATAGTGTCGAGAAATGTGGTTTCAATACTGAAAATCTT